AAACAATAAAACAAGGCAAAATTGATTAGAAAGGTTTGAAGAATTTCTACTTGTCGGATCCACAGCTTGATCCTTTCAGGTTAGACTAAATTACATTGAAACAATTACTTACGCCATCCAAACCTCTCAGCTATTATTAGTTAGTTTGCTTGGTAGAAGCAAAAAAGCCAGGTTAACTAGCGCCGAAAATTATTAAGCCAACTAAAATGACTTTTCTGCAAGAACTAGTAGTAAATGTTAATCAGGGAATAAATTGACGCGATAACTGTTGGCTAATAGCTAGACTACCTCTGCCTTCAGGTAACGAGCTTTTTCATAAGCAAAGCAACTGTTTGTCGCTCAACAAGCTCGCTTTCGAGGGCCAATTTCACGAAATGATCCCCAATGGAAACAGGGATTCGATTAATAATTTCTCGTTTCCATTTAGATTCGCGTGAGATTGTTTTAATGGCTTAATTGTTTTCTTCTAATGGATTTCTTGCATGTGATTTGCCTATTTGCTGGTAATTTATCTGCGATGAGTACTGGATTGTTTAGCGCTCTCAATTGGATCACTCTGTCCGTAGATCCGGTTGGTGGCTGCTGTGAATGAACAGAAGGAAAAATGAGAAATGCATTTGGCTTGTGGGCATTTTAAGCAGGTTACTCGGATGAATTGAATAAAAATCTGTGTCGTCGATTCTTCGGCATTGATCGAGGATCAATTTCAGCATGGAAGTCTTTTATTGTTCTGTTCCGGTGGCCTTAATTGTAATCTTTTGATCTCACGCAGATGCCATTAAAACTTCATCGGATTATGTGCGCTAGAACGTGAAAAATCTCTTGTTGCAGATTAGGGCAAAAACGCCCAAAGACGCTTTGTGCTAATGGCACATAATCCTCAATGGAAAGTCTACAATTTGTCAAAAAATCCATTGCCACTTTGTACGGGCAGTCATTTAGACCGGCTTGTTTACTGTTCCGCGCATTACTGCTCTTTTTACGGTGATGTACAGTTGACTTTTACTGTTAAAGAACGTTTTAGTGTGATTTAGCAATCTTGGCGACATTAATTAATCGTCGACAACAACCGACTAACTAAATCTCAGCTCAATTTGGCTCCACTTCAGTTCGGGACCGTTTTCCATTAAGAGTTAGTTTAGCATACCCATCAACCTACTCTCGATGTGTAACAAGCGCATTTGTGCCACTTGCCGAGCGGATCCATGGTTTACCATTATGGGATTGTTCAATTTAGGCATGACAATTTTTTCATTATGGTTTCCATTTCATTATTTATCCACTCGAATGGCGTTTCGATTCGTCTTTCGGCTCTGGTTCGCTTGTAGAGCATCTTCTTGTGGACAAAAAACCATTTTGTCAAAATGTATTGAAAGTGTTTGAGTTGTTTGGTTTTTCAGTGGCTTTGAGCATGACTAAGTTGAGGGCGGGTCTGAAAAGGCGCTCTTAGATTTTGCTCTTCTGCCATTCGGCAATAAAGTACGCACATTTTCGGATGAGACATTATGTTAGAAATGTTTCTGATTTTCGCCGAAAATGCGGAAATTCTAGGTTTTTGCGACTTTTGAATTTTGGGTCATACCTAGAGAACCAGTTGAGCTACAGAGCTTCAGTTGCCATTCCGGCATAGAGACTTAAAATGCGTACATTTTCATATAAAACATTGTTTTAGAAAAATATTTCTAGTTTTTACGCACAATACGGAAATTCAGGATTAATGCAAATTTTTAAAACCGCGCGCAGCTTTTGGGTCACATTTAGAAAACGGCTTAAGCTGCAAATCTTTGGTTGCCATTCGGGGATAGAGCCTTAAAATAGGCACATTTTCAGATAAAACATCATTTTAGAGATACTTCTAGTTCTCACGCAAAATATGAAAATTCAGGTTTAGTGCAAATTTCGAGAAACGCTCTTAGTTTTTGGGCCATATTTGGAGAACGGGTTGAGCTGCAAATCTCTGGAGATAGAGCCTTAACACCCGCACATTTTCATATATATTCATATTATTTTCATATTTTTTATATTATTTCAAAAATATTTCTAGTTTTTACGCACAATACGTATATTCAGGATAAAAGCAAATTTTTAAAACCGCGCTTAGTTTTTTGATCATATTTAGAGATCGGGTTGAGCTGCACAGCTCTGGTTGCCATACGAGGATAGAGCCTGAAAATAATTAGATTTCCATTTAAACCATCAGTTTATAAATAGTTTTAGTTTACATGCAAAATGCGGAAATTGAAGATGAATGCAAATTTTGAAAACTGCGCTTAGTTTTTGGGTCAAATTTGGAGTCCGGTTTGAGTTGCAAAGCTCTGGTTGCCATTCTGGGATAGAGCCTTCAAACCACCACATTTTCATATAAAACATCATTTAAGAAATATTTACAGTTTTCGTGCAAAATACGGAAATTCAGTATAATAAGCAAATTTAAAAAGCCGCGCTTATTTTTTGTATCATATGTAGAGATCGGGTTGAGCTGCGAAGCTCTGGTTTCCATTCAGAGATAGAGCCTTAAAATAAGCGTTTTCGTATAAAACATCATTTTAGAAATATTTCTTGTTTTCAGGCAAAATACGGAAATTCAGGATTAATGCTAATTTTGAAAATCGCACTTAGTTTTTGGGTCATATTTAGAAAACGGGTTGAGCTGTGAAGCTCTGGTTGCCATACGGCGATAGATCCTTAAAACAAGCGCATTTCCATATAAAACATAATATTAGAAATATTTCTAGTTTTAACGCAAAATACTGAAATTCAGGTTTAATGAAAATTTCAAAAACCGCGCTTAGTTTTTGGATCATATTTGGAGAACGAGTTGAGCTGCGAAGCTCTGGTTGCAATTCGGGGTAGAGCCTTAAAACCGACACATTTTCATGTAAAAGATCATTTCATAATTTTTTTTAGTTTTCATGCAAAATGCGGAAATTCAGGATTAATGCAAATTTTGAAAACCGCTCTTAGCTTTCGGGTCATATTTAGAGAACGGATTGAGCTGCAACGCTCTGGTTGCCTTACGGGGATAGAGCCTTAAAATAGGAACATTTTCATATAAGACATAATTTTATAAATATTTCTAGTTTTGACGCAAAATACTGAAATTCAGATTTAATGCAAATTTTAAAAACGGCGCTTAGTTTTTGGGTCATATTTGGAGAACGGGTTGAGCTACACAATCTGGTTACCATTCAGAGATAGAGCATTAAAGTACGAACATTTTCATATGAAACGTCATTTTAGGAGTATTTCCAGTTTTCACGCAAAATGCGATGGAACTCCCCTTAAACGTTGAAGCTTAATTGGAAAATCTTAAAAATTTGGGCAAAACTGCTACTAATTTTACAAATTTCCTGCTGATAAAATCCCTATAGCTCTATTGAAAAGTTAACAGCTGAAGCTTTCTTAGTTGCAGAGAGTTACGAATGTTGAAAAGTGTAGGTTCAGTCGGGAAATTTGCCAAAAATCTGGAAAAATCACCGACAATTTTCCAGTTTTTTTAGTAACAGAGCCTCAATCGCGCAAACTCAAAAGTTTAGAGCCATATACTCCAACTTAGTGTGAGTGTCACAGTTAACTGAATAAGCTTTTAGCAATAAAGGTCTGGCGCAAAAAAATTGAAGTCGTAGAACTTCCAATAAAAACGAGTTTAGGAAAAACCGGCGATTGGTTGAAATGAGGACATTGTTGAGTAAAACTCGTAAATTTTTTGGACTTTTCCATGCCACCTCGTAATCAACCTGACGTAGTCCCGCTTCCGGCAAGAGAGAGAATGACATAGGGGTTGCCATGGAAATCAGTCTGTTCTTCTCGCACGGTCCCGGTGTACCGGGGCCGACTCAAACGAACATGGAAGTTATTTGAATTTTTTTGCATTTATTGAAACACAAGTTTTTTGAGCGGACTGAAAACTCCCGGGTTTCAAGAAAAGGCAATAATTCTTGGCAAAACCTACATGGAAATTCTGCAGTTTACTTGCGAAGCAAAAACAATTAAATAGGAAATCCGGGGCACTGTTATCCTAGAAGCACACTGATATGTGGTATGGACATATTGGCACTTGAAGTGAATTTTCTCGCGATAAACGCCCCTAATCCCACTGATAAATGCCCAAAAATCGCTTGCAATTATGAAAATATTCCAATATTTTCAATACGAGACTCTGAAAAGCGCGAATCGAGGTTAAATTTGAAGAATTCTCTCAAAAAGGCTGCATGATGATGTTGCGGCTCGCAACATCTGCCGCAGTGGACCCAACTAGTTTATACAGCTAGGAATTATCATAATTGAATTGTTTCAATTGGTCAAACCGGCCAGTGGTGTCCATCATTATCATCACCTTCATATGGACTGACTTGCATTTAACCTCTTACTTACCACGAAAAACAGCAGCAGAAGAGCGATCATTTTCATTCAAATGAGCACCACTCAATCAGTGCACCCTGTAGGTTCAACTAGAACATTACACCCAACAATCCACTAGAGAATTTTGCGCGGAAAAGCCAAAACTCGCATCACTAGAAGGCCCGGATGATGGTACCGCTCGATGGTACCTAGAACAAGCTACTGACTGAATTAGCCGGAAAGCTCGCGCCAGTAAGCTCTTTCCGCGTTTTTCCGCAGACGGTACCGGAGTCATTAGGTGGCATGTCACGGCCCGGTTAGCATGGGCGAAAAGCCTTAGCAGGGTACTGTTAGGTCGCGGTACCAGTACATTGAGGGACACACTTTTCTTGGTCTTAAAAGAAGCTTTTGAAGCGTTTATTGAGCAAGTTTACGACACTTTCAACGGGGAAGTTGTGTTCCTCAGAAGTTGATTTTCTCGGTGTATCTCCTGTTGAAGTTGGAGGCGACTTGGGAGCTGTAGATGCGCCCGCTGATCTCCGAGCGCGTGACCAACTTCACGTCCTCCAAAAAGGCATCAAACGACTCGAGGCGATGCAGCGGGTCGCTGGAGGTTCGCAGTACGCGCTCGGCCCACGTTTGCGGCCTGGGAATGCGTCTCCTGTAACCTGAAGGACGGAAGAATTGCGATTTGCAACCCTAAAAACTGTGGGGCAAACAGTACCTTTCCTGCGGCTCTCGATGGCTTCCAGCACGTCGTCGTAGTAGCTCCTTCTGTAGTCGTAGATGCACTTGTACTGCAGGTACTTCGGCCTGGAAGCAAGAAAGACACTGAACACGCCCCGAATGCCCCTGGAAGCTGGCTGACAGTGAAACTTCAAGGAAAACTACAAATAATTTATTCAGGAGTCAGATGACTGAGTAACAGTTGCCAAAGCTATTTAAAACGAAATTTAACAAAGTCGTGCGGGGCTTAAGTCTAGTACAGAATACTGGAGTATCTGGTGTTGATGTAGCTCTTGCTGTGGTGCAGCTGGAATTTGCCGCTAAACCGCGTCTCCTCGATCAGCTTCCGATCCTGCAATTTCTGCCGGAAAATCTCCGCCTGGTTCGAGTTCTTCGTGTAGGTTCTGAGCACGCGCTCGCCCCACGTCTGCGCCACTGGGATGTCTCTGAAGATGCCACGGCACCGTTTGTCCAGGTAGTCAATCACGTCGTCGTAGTAGTTGCGCCGGTAGTCAGTCAGGTATTTGTAGGGCAGGAATCTGGGCCTGGAATCCGTCCAAAAAAATTGAGCTTTTACAGCTTCAGGCGGCAGGCAAAATGTCCAAATTGTGAAGTTCTTTGCCAAACTGGGAACTATTTTGGAACAACTTCCCCAACGAAATAAAACGAGCCAGGAGTGGAGGAAAAGTAACCAATAGTTACTCTAGTATGCGTTGCTCGGGAATGCGGTGCTCAAGTAAGCGTTACTCTAGTATGAGTTACTCTAGTATGTGTTACTCGTTACAAAGCATAAGAAATACTCGGTCGACTTTCTGAGTGAACAATTAAAAATTGCATTCGCATTAACTCGCAGAATAAATTGAATTGATTAGTAAAGAAAACTCTAGAGCAAGGCTCTGGGAAAAGTCTGAGCAGTCTGAGCAGTCGGGGACGACACTGTTCAGAACACGAAAATATTTCGCAGCGTCGCGCCCCCTAAACTTAGCACAACAGGGCGAGGTGCGATTAATCGAGCAGGATTTAGGCAGATAGAAAGCTTTAAGCCGTGTTCTGGGTTAATAAGGAAAATCAAATTTGGTAAGCATACTTACCGTCCGGAACCAATCAAACACCCCCGTGAACTTACCTACCTAAACCCTACGGTGTTTGCTCGGAAAAGCTCGTAATGAAATCGGCTTTTTTGGGCACGCAGGGATTTTTCCGAGCCTAATTTTAAACGCGTCCTTTAATTACCCAACGCTAATTGCGATTGGCCATTGTTGAAATTGCTTGCTGGGTAACACAGGTATTTTCGGTGGGGGTATTTTTAGACTTGCCCGAGGCGTGCGACAACAATCTATTAGTGTCATTGCCACTGGAAGACTTGTTTTTGCGACTTTTTTGGAATTGCACGCGTTAGATGACTTCTTCACACTTTGTGGGGCGAATCGCGGTTGACTGTTCAAAGGCACACTTACCTAATCCAGTGCTTGAAGAGGAGCAACTTGTCCGGATCGAGATACTCATCCTCGCCAGCTGCTTCAGCTGCTGGTGCTGCCGCCTCATCTTGAGCAGCTGCAGCTTCGCCTTCGGCCGTTGCTTCGG